TCAGCAGGCAGAAATGAGCATAGTTGGAATACAGAGCCCCAAAGGACGAGAGAGCACCCTGAATCTTCTGTGCTCCCGCACATCCAAACCCCCGTAGGAATCAATACGGTTCCAGATACCAAGAACCAAGCCTATCTGTGCTTCCACCTGGACCCTGCTCTGCACTAGGTCAGTACAGAATCCTGTCTTTCTGTTGTCTGCAGATTAAATGGGCTTGCAAACAGTTTTTTTCTTGTTCTTTTAAATGTAACCCTGCTGTATGCGTACCCTGGCTACTGTACAGGAACTGTGCCCAGGCAGGAACAATTCCATCATCAGATGTTGCTGGGCTGCAACCATGGCTTTGCACTTGCCTCGGGGCGTGTCTGTTGTAAAAGTGCCCTTGGTGCATGGGAAGTGTGGGATGAGGGGTGAGCCTGTTGGTTATTTAGCATTGGCTCAGAAGGAAGCAAGGACTTCTATACCAATAGTTTAAGGAACAATTTTGCATTCACAGCGCTTAGCCAGCCAACTTCTCCCCAAAGCTCCCATTTGGAGACTTATACAGGAGCAGAAGGATAAGCCTTGTGAAGGTATCTGTAATGTAAAATGCATTACTTCTCTGTGGGTTCAAAAAAGAAAATATACTTTAAACCATGAATTATTGATGGCAACTTCATGTGGGGAAAGCTTCATCTGTTTCAAAATGCTTCTCTCCTGAACTGTTGAATACAGATGAAACCAAGAGGGATCATTAGCACTTAATCTAAATCTCAGTGCTATTTCTTTAGGTGCTTTGAGTTATCCTGACAGACTGTATGGCAAAGAGAGAATTCTCTGTTCAGTTCTATTGGGTGCTTCCAAAATCTATTTAAAAATATACTGTTTGCTATTTTGTTGCTTTAGACAAGACTTTCCATAGAGACTTACAGGATAACACAATACCTGCCATACAGAGAAATTAAGAGGGTCGGGCAAGGGAGAGGTAGGGTACTTTATTTAGAAGCTTACGTGTGGTCTGTGACTGAAGGCTGGGAGATGGATGCTTGCTAAGCTTCGAGTGAAGTGTATTTTCAGGTGCTTTATGAGAGGAAAAACATCCTGCAGAAAACTGCTGAGCCTGGGATGCACTTGTGTGCATTCAGTCTGAATAACAGTAGGCATCCAGTAATTGCCTCTGACCTATGGTGACATGGGCAGTCTCTAGAAAAGAGTTGTTTGTGCTCTCCAGTAACAGGCTGCAGAAGTTCTCAGGGCACAAACTCTATGGGGATTAGTGCTCTTTCCAGGTGGCAAAATGCTAGGCATTTCCTGGACAAGACTCCTAGAGCAGTGAATCCCAGCCACAGCGCCATGCTGACATCCTAGGGTGCCTTGAGTTCCTTTCAGGGGTGTCACAGGCTGCCGCGTAGTTTTAGCACTGTGCAAACACGAGTCACAAGATGAACACAGCAGATTTCAAAGACAATCCAAAGTGCTGAAAACATGTTGTGGTCTTTCTGAGTTCATGACAAGAGAAGAAATTGCTCTAGTTTCTTCCTATAATCCAAAAATCACGTGAAAACTAAAAGCTGACATTTTTCAAGGAGTGCCTTGAATCTACCAGGGTCTGCTTGGAGTCTAAAAAATGTCCTAGAGAGACACAAATAGTGGGAGTGACACACAAGGGTTTGTATTTCAAAACTAATCAAACCCTGTGTCCATCAACCTAGACCCCTCCCTCCAGCACAGCAGACTAACTGTTGGTCCTGTTGGAGTTAAAGAGGTTTTTACCATTGAACTCACAGGACCAAGCTGCAGTATTTTTGTGAATTGCCTGAGTTGAGTGAAAAGGAAATGCTGCCTAGTGCCTAGGGACACTTGATTTCTTTTGCAAAAAGAGGCTGATCAATTGGGTTAGGAAAGGGGATTAGCAAAGTACTGGAGCACAGGCTTTTTCGTCAAAAGCTGAAAGTAGTATCATTTTTGGTGTTGTTGGTTTTTTTCCCTCCGTAAGCACCAGAAAATATTTGCTTTGGTTCAGCTACTATTTCCCTCCTCTTTCTCTTACAAGATGATGTTCACATTCCCATCAGCTGGATGCTTAGTGAAGGTAAAAGTGCCGTGCAATGCTTAGTCTAGAAGGGATGTTGTTAAAATAATAACGCTGCAGTTTTAAACAGATGTTTTTGCCCGTGTTACTAACAGCTGCTTGAATTAAGCATAAGAGAATTTTCAAAATGAAAATGTTGTTGTGTCTCTGGTTAGTTTGCTTTCTTTGACCTATACTCAAGAGTAAGATTAGCATTGTAGTAAGATTCACAGTCTGTTTCTAATGGGTTTCATTTGCTAGCTCTCACGTATTAACAAGGGGCTGCAGTTTTTTTCACTGCAGGGAAACATTTACATTCTTACTGGGTCATTTATTTAAGGCCAGAATATGTTTCTCTGTGTGAGATTCTGTAAAACTCTTGTACTCATCTTTTTACTGATTTGTAAATTTGGGAGTGTAGCTACCTCTCCTTGGCAGTCCCCAAATTCTCCTGTTGTCAGAGCAGGACTCTACTTGTGCTACCTCTTATTTCCCATCCCTTTTCTCAGGAACCTGTACAACAAAACTGTTCCAGTCCAGCAGGAAAAATGAAATGGAGAAAGCAATTCTAAGGAAGCCTGGCTTAAAAGGAGGCTAAAGGATTGGGCCTGAGGCATATGGAAATCGTCTCAGTATGAACGCCAGTGGGAGCTGAAGCACACGCAAGAAATGAAAAATGATGTACCAAGAAGACATGTCTATTTAATCTCCAGGTATGACCTGTGAAGTGTAGAACAGAGTTGCATCGGTAGGATTATACCTGAATAACCATTCACATACCCAAGTACGTACAGAAAATCTCTGCAAAGCTGAGACACTGAATCAGAGTAACAGGTCATGGTTTTACAGGGACTGTTTTATCTGGTGAGGACTGTCAATTCATCCAAAACAGGTGCCCACAGAAGGTTTGATCAGAAATGGTATGCACACACACTACTGTGTTTCAGAATGGCAAATGTATGAAATCATGATCTTGATCTCGTAATTAGGGTCACTAGTGCTAACCCATCTGCTCTTCTCTAAGCTTGATTCCTAGTTGACTGTGACTCATGGAACCCATCAAAAATTGGGACAGCATCCCAACCAATGACAGTGTCTACGAGATCATCCTCAAGAACAGCTCTAATTCCAGCTCCCAGTTTACAGGTGTCCAGCTCATCCAGTCCTTCAAACCCCTCATCATCCCATGCTACACCCTAGTGGTACTGATTGGCATCTTTGGCAACTATCTTCTCCTTTATGTCATCTGCAAGACCAAGAAGATGCACAACGTCACCAACTTCTTCATCGGGAACCTGGCTTTCTCGGACATGCTGATGTGTGCTACATGCGTCCCTTTTACCCTGGCCTACGCCTTCAACCCTCAGGGCTGGATCTTCGGGAAGTTCCTATGTTACTTTGTGTTCCTGATGCAGCCCATGACTGTCTACGTGTCCGTCTTCACACTCACTGCCATTGCCGTAGATAGGTAAGTACGGCTTCTAGCCAGCCTCTTTCTCCTGTGTGATGCGGGATGGAGGGTTTGTTTAGAAATGAATTGGCCTCACGATTGTAAATATTAATTCCTGAAATTGCTGCTATCACTGGCTGTGATTTCACTGTGACCCATTTTCTAGCCTCAGGATTTAGCTTTTCAGGAGAGGGCTATTTACAGCAGTGGGTTTTTTTCCCCCTTTTCCTACATTGCATAGTGTATATTGAAGTATACTGTATGGTTTTTGGCACTGACATGGGAGCAAGGGACACATGTCTGTCTGTGCATTGTTTTCTCCAGTGCTGTGAGGGCAACTATGTAGAGTGCAAGGGGCTGTTTGTAAAGCTCTTTGTTTTACTCTGTGAAGGAGCATGCTAGAGCAGCATTACTAGCACTGCACCACAGCTGTCTCTGTTCACTCACTTCCTCCTCCTTTTATCCCCCCGCCAGTCCCCTGAGCTGCATCTCCTTCCTAGAGCCTACTCTTGGTCAGCTTGGCTCGGGTATCCTCAGTCTTACATCCCCTCTCCGCAGCATTCCCAACTGAGATCACACAGAGGCCAAGCACGCTCTTGTAACTCCATTTCTGCCCACATGATGACAAGCCCAGGAGGGCCAATTATTGCAGAAACATTTCCAGTGATGTGGTTTCTAAGACAGAGCGTGTTTGAAGTTGTTTAAAGAGGCAGATGGAAGTAGAAATTCTGCTTTGTGGTTTCTCCCCTGCTGCCTTTAATAGACAGCTCTGTGCTAGCTAACTTTCAGCCGCCTCAGGAGAATCCCAGGAGAGCACAGGCTTGTCTGCTTGTGGGAAGCAGCAGCAGCCCCATGGCTTGGCTTACCAAAAGCACTACCCATGGCACGCAGGAGGCACTCCTGCCCTCACTTGGGAAGCATGGCAAGCTCCTGTCGGCCTACATGGAGCATGCTGTGAGGTGCTGATGACTTCTTGCCCCTCAGATATCCTAAATGAGATATAATCAGTGGGAAGTGGCTGGGTCATTGTGGCGGGCCCGTAGGGGGTGTTCCTGCATTGAGCCATCCACCTCACTGTGCTCAACCACCTTCCAGGCCCCAAGTGCCTCCCTAGGGGTGCCTCACGTCTGGCCAGCTCCCTTCCTGGAGTACACCTGAAAGCCTGGGGGTAACGTTGCCACCACCCAGGGTCTGGATTGATCTTGACCCTGTGCCCCCTGGAAAACACAGGCCTAGTCATCCTTGAGGGGTACTTGAACCACTGTAAGAACTTGGGGTGCTTCCCTCAGTCTGAAGCACCAATAGTGGTCTCCCTTAGTCAGCTGAACCAAGGGGACCCCAAAGGCATAATCTACACCCTCTCCCAATAAGTCTCCCATGCTAGGTAGGTACAGAGGAGAACTTTATTGATTACAAGGAGTAGGTTTGGAATAGGGTACAGGGTAGAGCAATATCAGAGAAATACCTTAGTGCAAACAGTAGCATGGTAGCCTTTGATCACACAGCTGAGTTACTGCAAGCTATATATCTACAGGCAGTCCTTGGACTTATGACACAATTGGTTCCTGAAAACCACGTCTTAAGTCAAAACGTTGTAACTCGGAACCAATTTTCTCATAAGAAACAATGTTATAAATGGGGGATTGGTTCCTGAACCAAGGCCCAATACCCTATTTTCACCAAAAATACCCCAGAATTTTGTACTCAGTCAATTATAGATGAGGCTGGAGTCTTCTCAGGCATCTTGGCTGCAGGTTTGTCTGGAGTCTTGTCTGCTTTCTTAAAGAAAGTGCCCAAGGAAGTTTGGACAGATATTCTCCAGGGAGATGAGCAATGCAGTGAACTTGTTCGCTGGCGTGGCATTGCATCAGATCGGATCAAGAGTTGTAAGTTGAAACTGGAGTTGTAAAGTTGAAACAGGGTGTCAATTTATAAAGGTTGTAAGTGTGAAATGTTGTAACTCAAAACGTTGTAAGTCGAGGACTGCCTGTACTTAGATCTCAAGTAGCTTACTCACAAGTATCATCCTGAGGCAGGTGGAGATTCCCTCTGGAGGCAAACAGTTCATTGAACATGAGTTTCAAGAGAGAGAGCCAGTTTCAGATGGTCCAGCTTCTCTGAGAGTTCTCATCATGGCTGCTGCCTCCGCCTCCTGGGCAGTCCTTAACTTACATAGACCTTATGACCTCATTTACCTGAGCCAATGAAGGCCAGCAGCTGTTGGCTGCCAGCCAACCAATTTGAAATGCATCACTGGTTGCCAGGTAGACTATCAGGGTCTCTAGCCCCATCCCAGTCATGATGACATTGCTTAGAAGAATGGGGAGTTTAAGCCCCCGCCCAGGTGTGTGAGGCCAGTCACGTAGGCAGAGGGAGCAGGTTTACCTCTCCTTCAGGAATGTATCCAGCTCAGGTTACAACTCAGGGTTATCTGAAGCTGATGAGGCCAGGGGTGTCTGCCCTCTGCAGTGACCATGGTAGCCAAATTGTCAGATTAGGCATCTGCCTGATAGCAGAGTTTGGGGAGAGACAGAGATGGCATTCTGCTACAATCATAACCCCTGTGTTCCCCTGAGAGCAGGAGTAGTGATTTTATGCTACAAAGGGAGTAGACTCATTATGCTTTTCCCCCCATGGTGTAGGTGAGTAAAAGGGGTGCTACCACTCTCATGGGGCTCTGGACTAGAGCCATATCTTTCTGTTTCTGCTGGGACTAAAGGGCACTCAGCACTGCATGGGATCAGAGGAGCTCCTGGTTTTCCCATGGTACAAAATTAATGCCCAGGCTCGCCTTCATTCTGCATTCCCACAGAAGGTGATGGGAAATGCTAATTGCTTGAATGAGGACCGAGTAAGCATCTTGGGCCTAGGCCTGCATGTGCTTGGCTGCACTGTAGTCACAAGGGGCTTGGGGCTGCGATGGAGCCCAGGTTCTGTACGTGCCAAGGGTCTGGAATGAGATTCCCCTGCATCATGTTCAGACACTCCACTTCTTCCTAGCCCTGCTTGGGTTCCTGAGGACGTTCTTCAATTACAAGAGGCTTCTTCCAGTGCTCCACAATCACCTCCGCTTGCCATCCATTTTGTCTGGAGGCTCTTTCAGGGCCAGATTAACAAACCTTAGCCATGCAGCTGTTGAGCCATTTTCTGCCAGCCCAAGGGGATCAGCTGTACTTCTGCCTGTCCAACCTGCTCCCACGCAGCTGCTCCTTCCAGCCAGCTGAGGACCACGCAGACATCCAGGCAAGGTTGCCATGACAAATGCATGGCTTGTGGGCTGGCACCAGTGCCCAGTCAGGACATGAAGGACAGCCAATTGCCAGCCCGTGCCTTCCCCCTGCAGACTGTTTCTGTTCTGACACCCTGGGACCCTGCAAACAAGAGGTGCAAACAACTCTTGGGTTCCTTCTCTGAGATGCAGTGAACATTGTGATAGCTCTGCCTAGATCAGTGCAAAGAACAATTCCGTTGCTTTTCCTTCTCCTGCAATGTGGCTTAGAGTCCCAGGGCTTTGGCTTTCAGCAGAGTCATGGAGTTGCCAAGGTAAAGACAGATTAAATCAGCACTGTCGGTCCAAAGGCTTCTAGCTGCGAAGCAAAAAGAAAAGAATATTCGACTCAGTCTTCTCCTCTCTGCGCACAGCATATTTGTGCCCTGTGCTTCTGGCCCCATAGATAGACACTATGATATTCTCCCCAGACTCCTAACTTGTAGCCAAATATGTTGGAGAATAAGCTAATTCCTCATCCTTTCTACTGACTGCAGGCTAAGCAGTTGGCATGGAACTGCCAATGCATCTGAATCTGATCTGAGTGTGGACTTCTTGCTGCTCTTGCAAGTGCCAGTAAATGGAGATGTCTTTGCCTGCTGGCTCCTTAGAGATTTGGGATTCTTTGTGCCCATGCCAGGTTATTAATACCATGCCCTGCAAAGCTGTGCCAGAGAAGCAGATTGTTCCAACGCCTGCCTGAATGAGGAGAGCTTGCGCCTTCCTAAATCATGTCAGACAGAATTTATTGCCATTTTATTTAAAATTATGTTTCCACAGAAAACCAAGGCTGCAGTCCTGGCAGGGGGACAGGAAGGGAAGGCACGTGCGGGTTCCAAACACTAAACCAATGACAGAAAGAACATCTTTAATGCAAATTTAATGAGAACATCTTTAACACTAAACCCATGATAGAAAGAACATCTTTAATGAGTCAGACTCCATCAGAAGAACAAAGGAGATGCAAGTGGGGCAAAGAAGATCAGATGAAGAAAGGAAAGGCTTGGAAAAGCTTTGCAGCAGTGAGCCCTTGCAGTGTGTGGGAGCCTTTTCCAAGGGGCATGTTGGATGCCTGATTGCTTGGGACATCACAGGGTATTGCTGGAAACCAGGCTGTAAACCCTTGCACAGTCTGGGCATCTACCCACATAGCATGGACTCCATTCCACTCAGCAGTCCTGGAGAATGAGGAGGATGGCTGTGAGTACATGCCCCTGCACTGGCAGCCAGCATCTTGCACTCTCTTGGAACGGTTTTGGTTGCTACTTTCTGTTCAGACAAGGTTCATTATGTGGAAATCAGGGTGCATTTGCTTTGCTTTACCAAATGGATGTGTGACCCTGCCCTCCACAAGCCAGTGGCCTCTACAGACACATCACCCATGTTCACAAATCCCTTAAAACACCTGTATAAGCTAAATGTAGTGAGGTTTGGCTATGGACTACTGGTAAAGCAGGCTTCAAAGGCCTGCTGCAGCCACCTACACCTCAAAGGACTCTCATAATTCCTCTCGTATTGGGTTGCCTAAATCAGCAGACAGTTTCTCCACTCCACCCCCATTCTATTGGCAAGGCCTCCCCTTCACACTGCCTGCCTGGTTTAAAATACAGCATGCAGCAGTCAGGATGGAAGCAGCCTGGGGTTGCAGGCTGCCAGAGAGTGATCACCCCCATTTCTCCTCTGCCCAGGGAGCTCTCACTTTGGTGGCTGGAGCAGGCTTTTCATGGAGCCACAGGCAGGTGGCTCTGGAGTCCAGATGTTCTGTAGCTATTGCTGACGGCCCAGATGCACACTGTGACTCATGCTTGCTTCATGGGCCAAGAGCTCTGCTCCACTATGGCCAGGTGGTCAATGAAGCCTGCACTGCAGCCATTGGGGCTTTTCATTCAGCATCTGCTTCAGATGTGGCTCCTCGGTATTCACTGGTGAGTGATGGGCTGCTGTAGGAGTTGCTGAAATTCCCCAAACACAGAGGACTCAGGCACTGACACTCGGCCGCGCTAATCAGCCCTCTCTTGCTGCTGCCCCATGGACATAGCTGCTCCTCTCTAGGTTGCTTGGTGCCCGAAGAGCCTGGAGGTGTGTTTGAGAGTCCTGCTGCCAGGCATGATACATTTGCAGTCTAGACGTAGTCTTAGTGCTAGGCAGACTTCCTGAGTGCAGAACATGTGGCACAAGACAGACACTATGCCGAACCGTATTCTAGGCACTTAAAGTGACTAGCAGGAGGCTCCGCTATCAGCCTTGTAGCTTTGATCATTAAAAAAAAAACAGCACAGAAACCAGCATAATGCATGTGGTGAAGGAGAAGAAGAGAGATTAACGGGGGGAAAGTTGTTAGGCTCTTTTAAAACGTTGCCTGAACTTCTCAGGTATGAATCAGAGAAAATTTTACAGAAAGGGCTGCTTGGGCAAGGGAACAGGAGCGTGCTGATTGGTGGGTGAGTTCCTCGCGTTGACAGAAATAACCTGCTGCTTAACACAAGGCCTCAGGATGGGGAAAAGAAAAGCCCCAATTATTTCATCCTTCCACAATAAATACTTTGCCTCAGGTTAATTCTCCGGCTGTGCTTCTGCTGGGATAATTGCAGCTCGCGGGGACCGGAGGTTTTGCTGTGCTGGCAGGGGGTCGTTTCCTGTTGCCTTGGCCCCATGTGTTGGGTCTTTTGTGACTAATTAAATGCTACACAAATGTCATGTTAATGAAAGAAGAAAAAGGGGCTGTTAAATGTTTGACTAACTGGAAAATGTCAGGCTCGGTGCTTGAGGAGGAAAGCTCTTTTGTAGCTTTTGTGCTCAGTACTGGAATATACTGGTGCTGAGGATTAGCCGACTGCTGCCAGTGCCTCTCACTTGGGTGGAGTTTGTCATGTAATTGCTCCATCACCAAAGCTATCAGGAGTGGTAGGGACTGAAGCCAGTGCCAGAGACTGGGGAAGGTAGGACAGCCATGCTGGAATGAAGCAAGGGCCTATCCAGTCCAGAGACCCATTGGATGGCACCAGGTTCAATTGAAGTTGCTTTGGAAACGTGGTGCTTGCCCCTTGTAGGCGCCCAGGGTGCATGCAGAACTGGCCATACCTGCAGCCCGATCTGGTCTGTATGCAACCCTGGCCAGGGTAGCTGTGATGCCAGATAGCTTCTGGCGGGTGCTTGTGGTAACTGCAGGTTACTCAGGGCCTGTCCAGGGAGGGAGTGGAAATGAAATGCTGAACCATGTGAAGCTAATGCATGCAATTAAAGTGCATTAAAACCCCATGTGGATGCTGCAGCTTAAGGATGAAGCTACAGCAAACAAAAGGCACTTTGCTTCCCAATGGCAGCAGCCACATGGGTTCTATTTGCTGCCATTTATGTGCATTAATTTCTCATAACTCTCCTCTGTGTAGACGAGTCCTTAGTATACTTTACTCTGGGGCATGTATCTCATCATCCCTGGGGCATGTACCTCATCATCCCTAGCAAGCGAGTAGCAGTGCTGTCCCCATGGGGATGGCACTGACCACTCTATCTCTGTAGCTGGTGACTTTTGTGTTTCTGCTTGCTGCTCCAGCTCCTCCCTGCTTTATCTGTGGGCTCACATGCCCCAGCTGTAAACTTTGCCCGCTAGGCTGACTCCAGGTTGATGCAAACAACAAGACCTGCAGCAGGCAACTGCTAGCTCAGCTCAGAGAAGAGGGATGAGGAGGTCCCTTTGCATGTGCTGCTTTCTGTGCGGCTCTGAGGTCTCATTTGGGCTTAGTGTGCATGCATGCAGCAAGCCTGTCATCACAGGGGTTTGCACAAGCTAGTTCAACCCTACTCCAGGAGTGCAGTGGGATGGGGCTGTTAGGAACAGGAGTGCTGAGGAGAAAGTGGCAATGGGAGCCATAACTTGTTCCTGTGCTCTCCCTGCAGGTACTATGCCACGGTGCACCCTCTGAAGAAGCGCATCTCTGTCACCAGCTGTGTGTATGTGGTGGGGGGAATCTGGCTGCTGTCCTGTGCCCTGGTGGCCCCGGCCATCGCCCACACCTATCACGTGGAGTTCCAGCGCGAGGGCTTTACCATCTGCGAGGAGTTCTGGATGGAGGAGGAGAAGGAGCATCTGGCCTATGCATACAGCACTCTCATCATCACCTATATCCTGCCCCTCTCGGCTGTCTCCCTCTCCTACATCTGCATCACTGTCAAGCTTAAGAACCGGGTGGTGCCCGGCCACCCAACGCAGAGCCAGGCAGAATTTGAGCGGGCACGTAAGAGGAAGATCTTCCGCCTCCTCGTGCTGGTGGTAGCTGCCTTTGGGATCTGCTGGCTCCCCATCCATGTCTTCAACATCCTGCGTGACATAGACATCAACCTCATCAACAAGCACTACTTTCTGCTCATCCAGCTGCTCTGCCATTGGTTTGCCATGAGCTCTTCCTGCTGCAACCCTTTTCTGTATGCCTGGCTGCATGACCGCTTCCGCAGTGAGCTGAAAAAGATGTTCACCTTCAAGCAGAAGATCATTCCCACCAACCACTGTGTGGCCATGAGCGTGATGCTCTGAGATCCGGAG